CGATTTGACAACCTTTCCCTGAAGTGTCAACGTCAGGAATGACCTACCCCACACCCACACCGACGTTTACGGAGGAAACACACGTTCAAACACACAAAAAGTGGATACCATGGGTGGCCATATAGCTTCATTGTCGTGTTTATTACAAGTGTATCACTGAATTATTACAATATAGACACAGATCTGCAGATAATGGCTGTATTTCAGTCATCGCGCACAGGCTGTGGTGATCACAGATGGTGACTTTCAGTTTTAAAAATGCAGTGGTTAGCCTGTCAACAAATTTGATCTTGTCGCTTACATGAATTGACAGTTCAGTTATAACGAATAAATACCATTCATATGAGAGTGCAATATTTAGAGAAAAAGTGTATTATGTATTCAATAATTAGATTCTTCCCAACTGGCAATGAATCCACACTTACGTAAGATTATGGTAATCCGTTCATCCTTTGAGTATAACATGCATGTATGGCGTATCATAAAAGAACAATTTGTGAAATAATTATTTTCTTACGTAAATAAGTAATTAATATTGGGAGTTGGTCTACTGTGTTCACATCATTTCCCAAACCAAAGGTAATTTTGTATCAATGCAGTATAATTGTGATAATGAATCAGTACCAGATATGCATCGTTAATTATATTGAGCTCACATCTGCACGACAAAGGAGAGCACCAAGTCCAAACTAGGCTACAGGGCTCGTCATGTATTGTTCACACGTAAATGAATCATGTATGTTTATCAAAGCTACTAACATTTTCTTTGATTAGCAGTATTATTTCATGAAGCGAACTCATGCATACTGTTCATAATGTTTGGAAATATCTGTACAAAAACATGCGCAGTTCATTTGAATGAATTTTGTATGAAGTTTATATATGTTGTTTCCTTTCTCGATCATGAAACATATTTGTAAACATAATTGATATGTAAGTGAGACGAGGTGAGGTGAAGTGGGGGTTTAACGTCATGTGCAAGATTATTGCAGTGATATAGCGACGTTGTGTGTGTGTGTGTGTGTGTGTGTGTGTGTGTGTGTGTGTGTGTGTGTGTGTGTGTGTGTGTGTGTGTGTGTGTGTGTCTAATGCCGATTTTATAGTGCTGGCCACTGATCATGAGATACCATGCCACCTTCTAACTGAATACCCCCACTCAGACAGAGTATACTGACCCCGAGCCGACCAGTCCTTGTTTAAGCCCCTTAATGCCGATCGCCGGACACATTAACAACAAGTACAATTTTGTCACGTAGAAAAGGTCATATCACAGAGGTTGTACTAACCAGTCCCGTATCACATCCCCTGTCGTTTTAAGAATTGTAAGTGTTACGTCCCTTAATGCGTGGCCTACTCGCCTGGTTGGTTAGCTTTCCCGTGATAATGTCTTCCAAACAAAATTAAAATATAATATAATGCGTTCCCTTGCACATAGATACATGTTTTCAATTTGATGTTATGGTAGATGATAAGAAAGGTTACTACATATCAACCCTTGACCCTCGGTCTGATGTTGGGTCTCGGATTGATATAGGGAAAGATATGAAAACTGCCATATAATAACCTTTAACTCCTCCAGAAAAAACCTGTTCTGTTGCAAAAAATAACACGGAACGTTTATTACAAGTCAAAATATGGAAGAGTATCGGACATCATTTTGGTCATTCATGTGTCAAATTTGGAAATGTCCTCTACCATAAAACCTTTGAACAGTTTACTACGGCTTTGTATATTGTAACCCTGATCAAACAACGTTGTAGCAAGAATCATATAACGCTATGTGAAATCCTAGCATACAGGATTGTATCTAACTCTCTAAAGTTGTGAATTGTAGACACCAAAGGCTGAAGCTGCTGGAATAATGATCGACATAACGTGAAAGTTGACTGTTGGAGAGTTGAGACCACCTCCCTTATAAAAAATAAATTATCATGCAGTCATGTGGATAGGTTTTTGTCACCCGGCGTTTTAATCATAGATGTATAACTATGAAACAGATAAGGCGGTTTCACTGGCCTCTTTGATCACTAGTTCAGGTGGGTAACTCAATCGAAGAGAATTACCTATTTGACCATTATTGACATAAATCAGAACAAAATATACCTGAGGATTAGTTTAAACTTCCCGTTTAGGTCAAATTCCTTTGTGTTATTTTGAACTGGAACGACGTTATCAACTGGGAATTTCATAAATATTATTTTGTTGACAGTTTGTTTGTCTGCACCAGACAATCCAGGGAGTGATATCCACGCAATTGGGATACGATAACATGCATCAACCAAGTCAATGACCCCGACCACCTGATCCCATTGTTGACAGATATCAGGTCAAAATATACCCGAGGTTTACGTTAAACTTCTTGGCCAAATACCTTTCTTTTAATTTGAACTGAAACGACGTTTTCAAATGGAATTTCATAAATATTTTCTCATTTTCAAAACTAACCAGTGAGGGACCTTTTGAGGGCCTGTCGTAATTCTGCCCAATTAAACCACCTCGTGTGCCCAACAAGTGTAGCTTTGCATGGGCGATGACACAACTCACTCGTAACATACTATGTGCGCTCATCTTCTCATGATATTTGATGCATCCTCGCTTCACAGTGAAATCTAGCCAAATACGCGGCTTGCAAATTGTGATTCATTATACATGCACAAGACCGTATGTGCAAGATATTTGATACACTCTTGTTTCTCAGTAAAGCTGCCTGTCAACAGTCTAGCAAGTTGTAATAAATTATTCATTATGCATGCAGAAGAGCGTATCCGATCGAGCTTGCCGAGATATTTGATACGTCCTTGTTTCTCAACCTCGGCGTGACAATGCCCCAGTGACATCAAGCAGGTCCCGTGGCTAGCAAACAGTAATACAACGCTTTTTGGTCCACATGTGTTACGCTTTGCTGCAGGCAATTATAGCGAGATCTGTAACATTTTTTTGATAATAGTGTCTAAAGACACCTTATGCTTCCCAGCAATATAATTCAAGGTGTCTAGCGCCTCTCGTACGGTCAACTAAGTATATGCATCCTATGCTGTATACATATGTATATGTATACATCTCTGATTATCTTTGAGCGTAAACGTAATCCTTATAAGTGTATATGAAATTGCATTGTACATAAGCAGATAATACATATTTCAGATATGCTTTATATATATTTATATATAATAATTTATGTATTTCAATTATGTTGTGCAAAAAGTAGCTTGAACACTAATCAACCAACATTTACTACAATATTCATGATTGAAGGCAGTAAAATTTCGACGACAAATGGAGGTCGCCTTGTTGTCTCACGTCGTATTCGTGTGTATTCGCACATGTTTGGCTTTTTCTGAATGCAATTTTATATAATTAATTTTAAGGTGAACAACATTGCAATCAAGATCGCCAGTATTAGTGTTTACCATTCAAAAATATTGATTAAAGAACCAATAAATGGTCTTTAAAAAATGTCAGAAAAAGCAACTGCTCATTTAAGATAAGGAACAAATTATTGTCTTAAGTTTGATAAATGACATTATCATAAACACTGCAATATTCGTCACATGCAAATTCATTAGCTAAATTAATATCAGTAGCACATTCGTTGCCTAAGCATGTGCACTTTCATTTGGACAAGAAGTAGGCATACACATAGCACCAAGTTTGGTCCCTTTCTTCCTGATGTTTCTTTATGCATATGAATCAGATTTTCTGCTCGGATTGGCAAAGTCAAAACAAGGTAATTTGGCCAAGAAGTTTAACTTAGGCTTCAAGTATATAGATGGTCTCATGTCGTTTAATATACATCGAATTAGCAACCCCTTCCACTGATTTACCCACCTGAACAAAGGAGACCAGTGAGACCTCATCATTTATCTCATATTTTGATCTATGCATAAAGATTCGGAGTGGCAAAACACTCTCAACAAGACTGTATGACAGGTGGGATGACTTCAATTTCCCATTTATGTCGAGCAAGATTTCCCATTTATGTCGGCTGCAGCTCCAGCCTTTGGTGACTATTACTAATGTATATTCCTACTCAAGTTGTTGACGGTGCTTAATTTATGTACAGTGTTGTGAGACATATAATGAGAAATAGAAAAAAACTGACACCAGAGACTTGATTTGGTATGCGGGGGGCACGGGTGGCCGAGTCGTCTAAGGCGCCGCGATTCGCTGTGCAGAGTTGCGTCCCTTGGGCACGCCAGAAACCTATGATTGTGGGTTCGAGTCCCGGTTCGCCCCGATTATGTTTCTAGGTTTGTCAGCACCATACCCGTGCTCGTGGGTTTCACCGAAGTGGTAAACGTCTAATACCTGCACCCCTTCGGGCTTTCCTCACACATTAAGCTGACACGCTGCGATATAACTGGAATACTGTTATAAGCGGCGTTAAACCCAACTCACTCACTCACTCACTCACTCACTCACTCACTCACTCACTCACTCACTCACTCACTCATTTGGTATGCCACCAGTCGAACCTCGCTTATCTGGACACTTGTGTTTTTCAAATATTGTCTGGATAAATGTTTAATTAGGCTCTACTACACGAAATCAGAACAAGTGGTCGATGTGACGTTTTCGTTTTCTTCAGTGTAAATCGAGATATATCTGCAGGGTGTGATTGTATGATATTGTGTAAGATTTTTATGTCTTTTAAATGTACATCTTCTCAGTAATTAAAACTTACCATATTTTTAATAATATTTGGCGCTGACCTTTTTAACAAGATGACTTGTGCCGAATGTGAGCACACCTGTTTTCAAGCAGTTGACAGTTGGTGCGGAACTGTGTTGATGTGTTCAGCCTCCTGTACTCGAAAAAGGAGCTGGCTTACCTATACAAATGTATTCGGCCTTTTCATGATCAAAATCAGTTTCAAACGCCGTGACACAAACTCTCTTGTTAAAATCCAATGAAAAGCCATATGAACAGGAGCACATTTACGAGACACAATATCACCACATGTTACACAAAAGCGAAAGCAGGTCAACTTGTTCTGACTTATTCAAGTTACGACCATGGCCCTTTCTACATTATATCAAACAACTTAAAAATAGACACCAGATTATGTCTAGACTGACGAGTTGGGCCGGGTCTAGGAGCTTGGAGGTATTTACACGCTAAAGGTAAGTTGTCTGAAGCATGTAATCTCTCTCTCGTTCATTATTGTTGTTTTTGTTTAACGCCGCACTCAGCAATATTCCAGCAAAGTTCCCCACTTTTACTATGAGTAAAAATTGAGTAACATGGATACCTAGTCCAGTTGTTTGTTTGTATTTAATTACTCATCTGTGTATATGTGCGTTTGGTGGAGAGATTTTTGCTGATTTTTCTGCTTTCATAAGTTTTAAATGTAGTTGGAATTTTAGTGTTTAAGGATATGTCTGTGTCAGGTAGAGGTTTGTCTCGTATGTTTTTGTCTGGTAGTGGTGTTTGTGGTATGTGTTTTATGTATGAGTTTAAGCAAATGTTTTAGGTAAGGGGCTTATGTGGTGTTTACGTTTCTGCGTATTGTTTTGAGTTTTTTGTATGGTGATATTTTGTTATGATTGTTGGATATATATATATAGGATGTTGTGCCCCAGCGATTGTGATTCATGAAACACACTTTTGAATATGGAAAGGGTCTTATCGCTTTTAGTTTTGGTTAGTGGGTGGGGCTATTGGTCTTCGAAAAAAAGGGCGGTTGGCTTTATTCGTTGAGTCAAAATATTTGGTGAGACAGTTGTTTTAGAATTCCCCTTGATTTTTTCCACAAGATTCTAGTATTTTAGGGTAATACACAAAGTTTTCAAATGTTTTTCATTTGCTGTTCTTATATTTTCTTTATTTTTATTTCTTAAGTGTTCGGCCAATTGTAATTTTGAATGGTCTCTCTCTGATTTATTGAGAGCCTTTTTCTTAAGTTTGTTTTTCGAGCATTCTTAATTTCTGTGCTCCACCATTGAAGTGGGTGGTGTGCATGGCATGCCCTAGTATAGACGGCATGGCATGATATACTCGGAATCGTAAAATGGAGATGTTTTAGGATTTTTCGAAAGAGTTTTGTCGCTTATATGTAGATGTTGGGATACATTTGGAGGCTATTTAATGTATTATGTGGGTAAAGCTTGTATTATAGGTATCCGTGTCAATATTTTGTATGGTTGTCATGTCAATGTTGTGAGATAGTTTTGTAAAGTTCTGCCAATTTCTTTTGAAGTTGTATTTTATGAGCTGGGTGTTAAGGTCCAATGATGAGTCTAAACGTGGAGATGGTATGATTACTGTATTAAAAGAAATTGTGATGGGACAATGGTCAATTGTCTTAGGTGTCATTATGAACGTCCCAGCACAATTTCTGGGGTAATTAAGGAAAGATCCACTGTTACTGGATTTTGCAAATGACTATACGGAAACCGAGTGGATTGACTGTCATTAAGACAAATTAAATTATTGCTATCTATCCAGTCTATTAGCATTTTACCGTATTTATCTGTGTACTTTTTTTGTGCCCTACAGTGGGTGGTGAACACTGGGGTCTCTTATAAAAAGATTCATTGGGTTTCGTGCTTGGAGAGGATATCCAAGTCAGCTATTGTAAATGATTTGGTTTAAGTTTGGTATATATTTATTATTGTTAATCTTGGTTTTTAGATAGTATTTATTTCTAGGACGTCTCAGTTTGGGTGGGTATATCGATGTTATTGAAGGGTAGGGAGTCTTTGACAAAACTGCCTAGAAGTTCAGTCCCCTAACACGCATGGGCAACGCGTGACGCAAACAGTGGGACCGTGGTGTCACGTCGTGATAGCCGGACTTTTGAGATAATGAGGCATGGACATCCAGACAAATCTAGTAACAGTATTAATGATCCATAGCATGCGCAATACGATTGCAGCCAGGAGCAACAAAGAACGCAACATATGCATGCGATGACAAACTGAAATGTATTTCGCAGGCACTGATCAATATCAATTTTGACTAATTATGAAGAAGAAGAATGTATTTTATTAATATGTCACACTTTGCATTTACAGTGTATACAATCATGGCAGTAACATAAGGAAAACTAGCAACTTCAAGCCTTATAAACTTTACGAGACACAAATACACGTTAACATATCAAATACTATTAAAATACAAGCATACAAGCATACACACAAAATGATTGGACTACATCGTAAATTATAATTGAGATACAACAGTGAATAATTTATATCGTGACAGGACGGAGAGTAGCAACTCTTGTTCAGAAGTTGTTTGATCAAGGTTACAATATTCAAGCCTCAGTATAGTTTCATGTTGGACGTGAAGGACATTTCCAAATTTGACGCATGAGTGACAAATGATGATGTCCGGTGCAATTCCCTATTAGACTTGTACCATATGTTCCAGTGGGTTTTTTTAAGGTGAACAATTGACTTGCCTTTGCATGCGTTTGCGACGGGTGCCGCCGGTGGGGCAGGATATGCTCACCTTTTCGCGAACACTTGGTACAATGTATCATCAATATTTGATAGTGATTCATTAACACATGCTCATGATATAGTCGGAATCATACAATCGACTCAGCTTTTAGCAGGTTTCTATTAGATATGGAAAGGGTTTTCTTGCCGTAACCTTAGGGGTCTTGGCGCACATTACCATCAGCGTTAGGTATAACTGTACTAACACCGTGCTTCCATGAAGTAGGAAGTGTTCTCATTCTAAACAAGATGAAAATAACTTAATGACAGGTTAATACACATATCATTTTTGAACGCTTCAGCTAGAATAAGATCTAGACCGACTGCTTTTCCCGTCCTTGCGTGTACAACTTTTCGCATGATGTTGTGGTGGGGTCACCAACACCATTATATAAATTCTCATAGCTTTCTCTCCAACAATTCTATTGAAATCGAAAGTTTAACCTGGCCATGTTATCACTGAAGGAACAAGGACTAAAAGTTATGTATTACTACTGTAGGCTAGAAATCTAAATCTACCTCCAGATTGAGCTTTTATTGCTTTTGATAATATGGTTGTCCCGATTCTCCGGTCCCGATAATCCTATACTACTGTGAAGTCTGGGGTTTTACTGATCATGATTTCTCTATCCTTGAAACTGTTCATAAAGTGTTCTTAAAATTGTGTCTTAAATTACGTAAGAGTACGCCCACTTATATGTTGTATGATGAAACGGTTGATATCATTGTCAAGAAACGGATGTTGGGCTCTTTTGCTGTATCCTAACATTGCCACAAAACGTTGATACACTTTCAGTGATTATTGACAGTCAATTTTTTATTTATGGGTGGAGTATCATATCATCCAATTCCGATAGGAATTGGAGCACCCCTTCACACAAACATAGCCAGTATACATGGTTTAACACATTCAACTGTTACCACTGCCACTACTACTACTACTACTACTACTACAAAAATGCAACTGGTTAATGTCTTGAACTACGACTACTATTGCTACAACTACTATAACTGGGAATAATAATAATAATAATACTGTTAAAAGAGATCAACTTGGCACGTCTGTATGGTTTTATGCAATATCGTGCACAGCACGTCAAAGGACAGCCAGTATTCGTATATTCCGACGATTTCTGGTCATATTCAAATATAATCATAAAGGAAAAAACGTGGAGACATGTCGTGAGACCTCAGACAAGTATCAGCACGCACGCACGCACACAGCGTACAGAAAGGTATGTTGTCATGGGAGATGTAGGGTTGGTTGGTTTCAACTCAAATAATGCTGGTTTCATCGGCGGGCGTGGGACACGAATTGACTGAATAATAAATCAGCTCAGCGTTTCAAAAGGTAGCGTTTTAATGACTGAAATGGGATTTTTATATGACTCATTTCAATTCTACCTGACATGGTTCGTCCTGTGTGAAAAGCTCCTCAATTTTATTGTATCCTTTTTATGCACCTAACAGTAAGAACGCACATCGAAATACCTGAACACTGCGAGTACACAGAATCACATGTGTATTGACATTTAAATTCACCCAGAGAGTTTCTCCCATGATAAGCTAAATACATACAGCTTGCCGGTTTGAGTGCGTATTAGTATATAGATATTGGAATAAAAAATAATAAAAATATACTATGATGTTAATCAATGTATACGCTGTATATGTAGGCTATGTAATATCGCATCTAATTATTTACCATTTGCTTTGGAGACGACCCCCTCTTAATCTGGTTTCGAGAACAATTCGCACAACATCACAGTTGGGGATAAGTGTGATAATCAGTTGGTCACCGACTTGTGAATAAACCGAGGGGCATTTTCAATAGGAGATAATAGGACATGAGTAGTTATAACTGCTCTATCATAATAGTACCATCTAAAGCACACATTTGGCGAACGAACATCGTTATGTTTGCAATCAAAACACAGCTAGAAATTTTGTGTAAATAAATAAATAAAATATTTAGCCTCCATCTGCATGATTTAAATAACTACTCCCCATAAATACCCTCTAATCAAGACAGAGTACTTAGTGAGCAAAGCCGTAATCTTTGACACCATTATACTAAATAATCATTTCAAATCTTCCATTTCAAGAAGTCATATCATGCAAGTCACTGTGTTGTAGCCTTGGACAAGGTTATTGACTCTGCTTGTCTCACTGTGATATGACTGAAACAGTTGTTGACTGTGATGTGAAATGACCATCAAGCATCATTTACCGTCTGTACATTTATGTTTTAGTGAACAGTGAGAAAATTATAAGATTATTTACATAGGATTAATTTCAAGTAAGCCATAAAAAATATAAGCCCTTAAAAATTAAGAAAAGGCATGACACTCCCCCCAAAACCCGAGCCCCCTCAAATGGTCCGTCCCTAAGTGGTTTCATGTTATTTAGGGCAATGAGTGCCCTAAGCTCATGACCATTTGAAACAAGACCACTGGAATTCGACTGTAAAATCACCATGATGAGGGTCTGTAAAAGAAGGACCAATGAAAAAATCATTGTGAAGGGGATTGAATGCCATTTGTGTTGTGTTCATTTTATTTGGATGATTAAGGGTAGTTTTGAAGTGCTCAAAAGTGTTTTGGTATAGTCTGGAGATTAGGGCAGGGTTAAGTGGAGTGTTTTCGCACAGGGATGTTTGAACAGAATGGCAGCTGCTA